AAGACAAGTTTGTGAATTTGGTTCTCTCCTTCCACCTGTACAGGGGTTTCAAGATCGAACTCAGGTTTTGCTCTGTAAGTCTCTTTACCTACTCAGCTAACTTGCAGGCCCCTCTACTACATTCTTTCTGATTCTTCAAGAATTTATCCCAGTGAAAAATGTGAGGTAAGGATCCCATTTTATATTTGTGCAGCTAGGCTTCAAATCCAGAGCCTTGTCCATGGGCGATTCTTCCACCGTTACTGCCTGGCCCTTTCTTTCTCTCCTATTTTCTTTTTCTCTTTCTTTTTTCTTTTATTTTCAAAACAAGAGTCTCCTGTGGCTTGGATTGGGCTCCAACTCACTGCAAAGCTGAGGATGACCTTGAACTTCTGACCCTCGTGGTTCTGCCTCGAACGAACGTGCTAGAACCACAGGTGTGTGCCACACACATCTGGCCTCTCCTGTTATTTCTTTAATGTCAACAATAATTAGAACCAGAAAATTTAAATCCATAAAGGACAGAGGAAGCTGGAAAATTTCTGGAAGGGGGTAAGAAAACAGAGCAAAAGGATTGCTCTCACCAGAAATGAAACCATAGTCTGCATTTATATAAATAATGTGGGCCTGCGTACATCAGAGACTGGAGGAAAAAAAATAAAACAAGTAAGGATAGAGCAAGGGAGGGAGAAACAATGAAAGAGGGGGGCAGGGGATGTGACTCAGTGGTGGAGAACTTGCCTAGCATGCACAAGGCTGGGGTTGGATCCCTAGCTCTGGAGGGTCATGGGAAGGATACAATATAATCAAAGTTTATTGTTAGGTAAGTATAAGGCGTCCGTGAGGGTTATCATCTTCATCTTGGTCAGTATTCCTGTCAAAGAATACAGTTCCCTTTTCCCTCAGTCTGGGTGACCTGTCAGAGACCCCACCCTAGAACGAGAGTCCCACATCTTCCCACCGTGTCTAGTCCCTCAGATGGTAGTAAATATGACGAGTTCGAGTTTCAAAGTTTGTTTCCTTAATTATTCCCAATATGCTGGACTTGCCTGTCTCTCCTCACACATCAGGAGAGCTGTGGTGATCAAGCCCGGGCTCATCAGATATACAGTCATGTGTTGCTGATCACAGGGACACCTTCTGGCCAATGTGTTGTGACCCTGTGAATGCCACCGAGCTGACTACAGATGGCAGAGCCAGCTGCACATCTAGGCTTCAGGATAGAGGCTGCAGCTCCTAGCCTGCAATCTGAACAGCTTGTCCTAGACCGCATACTTTAAGTGATTGTAACAATAATATTTGTATATCCAAACATGTAAGCCCAGAAAAGTAAAAAAAAAAAAAAGAAAAGAAAAGAAAAGAAAAGAAAAGAAAAAATTGTAGAAAATAGCTTCCACGGTATACGAAACAGTGAGTAAAAATATTGCAGAAAAGATACAAGATGGAAGGTAGTTGTGGCAGTTTCTGCCTTCAGTGTCAGCCCTGAGAGGCAGACAGGAAGACCAAGTGTAAGGCCATGTCGACTGCATAGTAGTTTGAGGGTCACTTGGCTTTCTCAAAACAAACACAACTACAAAATGCTGTAACTGTAGAGGACTCTTACCAAGACGAGAGCATGCGTGTCTGAGAGTTGCCCTGGGGTAATTAGTGAGTAACAGACAATGAATGTGGAGATCACTGACACACATTACTGTGCATTTGTACACACTGCACAATTGGACTAAATGTCATTTATTTTAAACAATTTCTTTCTTAAATAATAAATTAACTTCTACAATATACTGGCTATTTTATAACATTAATTTTTTTTTTTTTTACTTTTTACTTTTTTTATTTTTTCTCCAACTATGTAACCCAGGCTGCCCTCAGACTCAGTGTGTATGAATGACTTTGAGCTTCACCTCCAAAGTGCTAGGTTTACCAGCATGTGCCACTATGCCTGCCTTTAAAAAAACAACATCAACAGCAAAACAAAGCCTTTTTGAACTCTTGCAGTAAGATCTAGCTTAGAACACATTGTATAGATATTTTAAAATATTCTTTTCTTATGTGCTTAATCTGTGAGGTCATTTTTGTTTGTTGTTTGGTGGTTGTGTTGTGTTGTTTCACTTTGGGATGTCTCTATAGGCCAGGCTGGCCTAGTAACTTGCTTTGTAGCTGAAGATGACCTTGAATGTTTGGTTCTCCGGCCTCTGCCTCCTGAGTGCTGGGATGACAGGCGTGCACCAGGTTTACATAGAACTGGGGATCATAGCTAGGGCCTGCTCATGCTAGGTAAGCGCTCTACCTATATCATCAGCCCTTCTGTTTTAATTTACTTACTTTAAAAAACATTTGGGACTGGGGAGATGGTTCAGTGGTTAAGAACACTGCTTGTTCTTCCAGAGGACCCAGGTTCAATTCCCAGGACCCACATGACTGCTCACAACTGTCTGTAACTCCAGTTCCAGGGGACCTGACAGCCATGGCAAAGCACCAAAGCACATAAAACAAAAAACAAAAAAAAACAAACCAAACAACAACAAAAAAACCACTTTAAAAACATTTTTTTTTTTTTTTTGCTATTGTTCAAAGCCAAGTTGCAAACACATGCATTAGCTTACACAGGATCAAACTCAGCCTTATTTGAACCAGGTGTGGTGGTGTGCTTCTGTAATACAAGCATGTGGGAGGCTGAGGAAGGGCGATTGCTTCAAGCTGTAGGTCAGCTACTTGCTAAGTTCAAGGCCAGCCTAAGATCCACTGAATTTTAGCGTGCTTGCCTACCATACACAAGGCTCTGGCTTCTATCCAGGCACTAAAAAAATGTAACTGATGTGACATCTTTTGCCTCCACCTTTTATGCGGTCTTCCTGGAAGACGGTTAGGGGCAGTGACATGCCTAGAACGGTTGTCTCTTACGATGACAATAATGCATTCTGAAGGACTGACTTGAGACTCTTTCACAGTTAACTTCATACTCGTATCTAAGCAGGGATACACCCTAAGATGAAAGCATACAATAGAAACTTCACTGTGATAAATGCACAAGCCAGTAACAGTCATTTATGATTATCAGGTGCTGTACGTAATTGTATGGCGGTATATTTGGCTGCACACTTGACTTGTTTACACCAGTAGCACCTCAAATGTGAGTAATGCACAGTGCTGTGATATTAGAACAGTCAAGGCATTAATATGCAGTACTTTTTCTACTCCATTCCTGTCCTCCGGGACCACTGTCAGCAGTAACATGTGCCAAAAATTTGGCTCAAACCTAATACTGTTTAAAGACTAAATTGTAGGTGTTCATTCACTAGTAGAGTCTTTTGTGTGTATACGTGTGTCCTGTGTGCATGCATCCATGCATGCCCATGTGGAGGTCAGAGGTCATCACTGGCATCTTTTATTACCTGTCATCTCAGTGAACCTGGAGCTCACTATGCTAGCTAGCATGGATGTCACTGTGACTCAAGAATCTACTTTTCTCTGTCGGCTCACCAGCTCTGGGATTAAAAGTGTGCACTGCCAATGCTGGCTTTTAAAACAGGTTCTGGGAATCCAAATTCAGGTCCTCATGCTCTTGGAGCAAGCACTTAACCCACCAAGCAACACCCTCCCTGCCAAGACCTAGATGTTGGTAGATTTCTACTTAGCTGTTACAGAGCCGGAGTTTAAGGCCTCCTTTTAACCAAAAAGTTAGGGTGGGTGCAGTAACACCCACCTATGGACACACCTAGACAGTAGATTAAAGTCAGCGGTCCACTGAGCCCAGGAGTTCAAAGCCAGCAAGACTTCATACAAGGGGTGGAGGTAGGGAGAAAGACTCTTTTAAATTATTTTTTATTTTTTGGCCTGGACCTCATAGAGATCCACCTGCCTCGTGAGTACTAGGATTAAATGAATGCCCCACCATGCCCAGTGGGGTATTATTGATGACCATTTCTATTTGGACCTTTGTGTATCTGAGGGTCACATGCAACCCAGGCGGACCTCAAATTCTCTATGTAGGCAAGGCTGGTCTTGAACTCCGGATCCTCCAGCCTCCACCCACCAAGTGCTCAGATTACAGGTGTGCTTCACCGTGCCAAGCTCCAGCTTCACAACCAGTTTGCACAGTCATTTGCTATCTGAATCTTATCTATAACACCCCATCAGGGGAACATCCAGAGTTTGATTCGCACTCAAGATGGAGGACTGTCTCCTGAGACCAGATCGTCCTTACACGGTAAAGTTCTTCCTTATGTTGACACATTTTCCCTTATGGATTGCCCATTCTGATTAGGGGGGTCCTCTGAAAGGCAGAAGTGGCCAGTGCACCACTGACAGAGTCAATGAATACAGCTTAGAGAAAAGCTCAGGTAGGTTGGTTTATGATGGGGTCACAGAGCTTAGTGGGCTGGGAGAATTAAGGGGTTTGTCTGGCCAGTCCACAATGGTGTAGCTAAAAACTAAAAACAAGGTACACTGGTTTAGGATCTGTGGAGAGGCCAGGGCTTGGCATATAGCTAAAACAGCCTAAAGAAGACATCGGGCAATTTTTTTTTTTTTTTAAAGAAAGAAAAGGGGAAGGAAGAAAAGCAAAGAAAAAAAGGTATGTGTATGCTGACTTCATTAATAGAAAGACTGCTGTGGGGACACCTTTTAATTATTACAAACGTTTAAAAGCTTGTGCTACCACACAAATCGTCCTAAATTTTAACATACTCTTTCCAATGAATTTTCAGACCCAGAAATCAAAGGGATTTTATATCCCCTATCTCATCCTCGCTCAAAAACACAAAATAAGAGTTTGTTGGGGTTTGGTTTTTGTTTTATTTTCTTTAAGACAAAAAAAAAAAAGAAAAGAAAAAAGAAAGAAAGAAAGAAGAAAATGACACCGACTGCCTTTATCGTGATGGACTTTGACATTCTAATGCCTGGAAATAACACCGTCTTGCTCCATATATAGCCTATAGACACACCTTGTATTTGGTTTATTTCCTTGATGGGGAAATATTCATTTCCAGGCTACCTACCCTCTCCCACCCTCTCCAGTCTACCTTTCCAAGGCAGGGAAAGAAGATGCATCCTCGTCCGGCTCCTGCGCCTTCCTAGTACCTCTGGCCAGCATCCTATGGGCCCGCGCTCCCTGGACATCCATGAATGTTTGATGCTACATCTCTACCCCA